CAACAGCGAACTGGCGCAAGTACTGTCCTTGGAATGATAAGTCTACACACGTCGTGGGCGTAGACACGCTCTCTCGAACCGTCGACCCGAGCACTGGCATTGTGAGTCATCCAACCTCCAAACAAAACTTCCGAGAGATTCTGCAACCTTTGTACTAACCTTTGCCTCTAGCTGCGAACCGAGCGTCTTATCACATGCAATCAGTCTGTACCGCAATGGGTTCTCTCGATTCTCGGTGGAACGAATACATCTCACGTCTACGAAATCTCTTATGTCGATCCGGTTGCAAAGAAGGTGACCATGTGCTCCACCAATCTGACATGGTCGAACGTTCTCAGCGTCCGCGAGACTGTTATCTATCGGCAATCCTCCCTTAGCCCGGCCACTACAACCGAATTTAGCCAAGAAGCAAAAATCACTGCCCTCTGCGGTGGATGGCAAAAGATCAAGAACAAGGTTGAAGAGGCAAGCGTGGATCGTTTCCGTGAAAATGCCAAGATGGGCCGTGAAGGATTCGAAACTGTCCTCGAGATGAGCCGCCGCGTCTTCGGCGAACAACGCGAACTTGAAAAGCAAGCCCTCCAGGCATGAGTGTCTCATAACACCGACATCCTTCCCGCGACCTCTTCTCAACATGATATCTCTTGTTTTCATCCCTTCAGCATTCAACATCCAGCGACTGCATATACCGGCGTCTGTTTTCCATATTCGAGCATGTTGCGCCAAGTGGAGTTCTTTATCTCAGCCTTTTTTCCGATTCTCGACTCTTTCAACCTGTTCATGAATACCACATATTGCCTCACGAAGCCGCATGGCCAAGAAAAGTTCTCGATTACGTTTTTTTTCCAGCGAGTTGTCTTTTAATACCCTGGTTTTTGTACTGAGTAGCCCCGACCAAGAAGGCGGCACAGATGTATCATTAGAACATTTCAAACTTAAATCTGAAATTCTATTATCGTACAACATTTCACCTTGAAATTCATATCTCATAATAAACCCAACCATATGTCCTGTCAAAACTGACCATGAACACCAGACCCAAATATACCACGAAACCTTGCTATCCCAATAAACCGCCAAGAACCACCCGACTGACCCCAGCAACTTCGTTCTTCACACTATTTCGGCTCGCATCTTCGAACTCACGCACTGCGCCGGCCACCATGATCTTTCGTAACCTGGCATCTGTTTTGGAAAATGTTTCGCCCAGGACCACCGTGCAGACAGCTGGAGATGATACTAGAGCAGTGAACCGGCTATAAGTGTCAATCAAGACATCACATAAAGTTGCAAATGTCTCAAAGAAGTCCGGCTCGAATGGCAACGATGGCGTGAGAAGATAAGTGTATTCCTCGCCAGGAAGAAGATCCGAAGACTCTGTGAGTGGGAAGGAGGTGACCGAGGCCGCCGCAGAGGAGCCCGACCCGAGATTCCCTGTCATGTTCTTCAGGTCTGATGGGTCGCTGGATTGCATTGGGAGTCCGATCTCGTTTGCAGAGCTCGCACGTCGGGTCTTGGCACCTGCATGCGCCGCCCGCTTGAACATCTGGGGTATACGGGCCCTTGCAAGACTTGACGAGGAGCTTCCATCTGGGGGATGCACTTGCTGGAATGTTTCGAATTCCAGTAATAAAGCATTCAGGGCACGCACATACTCGAGCGGCGTGGAATTAACATCGAGAATTGTTGGCAATGACAAGCCTAGAAGCAGATAATTGATTGCGCGGCGGGAAAGTTTCCGGGCTTCAAAGTATGGCAAACGGGCGATGTCAGCCCGAGAAAAATGCACAGTATTAAACCAATAAACCCGTCCTTCGTGACTATATGTACCACCGTATGAATTAGTAGTGTTCAGGGCTGGCAAGAGTGCAATTTACTTACGCTTTTTTCAAATAGTCGAGAGTCGCTATCCGTTTTGCGGCCATTTCATGGATATGTTGATAGATTGCGCCTGCACTTTGCGGGCCGAGAAGGCCCCCTCCGCTCATGACTGCAGGTGGGATGCTATGTCCTCCTTCAAATCCACCGGACTTGGCTGTATCCCGCCGCGTGATGCTCGGGGCAAACGTAGAGGGGATCATTGGGCGTGGGTGTGTCATTTCGGAGCAAATTAAAATGCGACACGGACGAGAGTGGACACGGGTCGAGAGTAGGACAAGGCGGAGGTGTTAGAAAAGACCAGAGAGCAAGAAACCGAATAGACCAGTGGGCGAATACTGATCCCAATATGTTTCCTAGCTTCAAAGGGTGAGGGTTCAGGAGATCCGGAGAAAGTTCCCCGCAAGACTGAGAGAAGATTACTGTGACCGTACCCTTCCCATGTAATTTACCTCTGTCGATCACATCCCCCTCCCCCTCCTATACAATTCTGAATTTGTTACTATTGTGAAAAAAAAAATGGACTCAACACCCCTTGAGGAGCAGGTTCCTCTGCCTGGACAATGGCCTGCTGATCCCCAGGAGGATCTACCAATATCGGAGGACCGACTTTGGGTCGATGGATGCTTTGACTTCAGCCACCACGGTAGGTTTGCAATTAATACCAAGTCAATTGCTGTGAACTAATTGATGGTTCGCTCTACAGGTCATGCCGGTGCTATGCTTCAAGCTCGCCAGCTAGGAAAGGCCCTTTACGTGGGAATACACTCCGACCAAGCTATCCTCGAGAACAAGGGTCCGACAGTGATGTCACTAGAAGAACGGTTGGTTTAATCGCATATTGGTCTAGCTGTTGGGCTCTGATACTAATGTCGCTGTTATATAGTGTCGCAGCCGTTGACGCGTGTCGATGGGCCACTCAGAGTGTTCCCTATGCCCCCTACGTGACCTACCTACCCTGGGTATCCCACTATGGATGCAAATACGTTGTCCACGGAGACGATATCACCTCCGATAGTGATGGAAATGATTGCTATCGCTTCGTCAAAGCCGCTGGACGGTTCCGTGTCGTCAAACGTACCCCGGGCATATCGACAACCGATCTTGTTGGCCGTATGCTGTTGTGCACCAGGAACCACTTTGTTAAATCCGTGAAGGGCACACTCGCTGGACTAGAAGGGTATGGAAGCCCCGAGGAGCGCAAGGCTTCTGCTACAGATCTTTTGCAGAGGATCAAGGATTATGCGACGGACGAGAGCGGTCTTCAACCTGGGCCTCAAGTGTGGACTTGGACCGGTTCGGGCACTGCGAAGATGGATCATCTTGCCGAGGAGGCAGGCCTGTTCGAGACGCTGGTCGATGGAAAGGGACCCAAACCCGGGCAAAGGGTTGTTTATGTTGACGGAGGGTTCGATCTCTTTTCCTCCGGTCACATTGCATTCCTGCGCAAAGTCACAGAGCTTGAGGAGTCCGAGGGCCGGAAACGTGGCTGGTATGAGCCAGACCAAGTTGCAAAGCGGTTGAAGGACCACGGAGAGGACTATGCACCATCGTATATTGTTGCAGGTATTCATGATGACGATGTGATCAACCATTGGAAAGGCTTGAACTACCCGATCATGAACATTTTCGAACGTGGTCTCTGTGTGCTTCAATGCCGCGTAAGTTTTCCCTGATTTGTTTTCATCTGTTCAGTTTGCTAACCCTTCGCTAAAGTACATCAACGCTGTTATATTCTCTGCGCCATTTACCCCCAGCGAACCATATCTGATGGCAATCCCATGGGGCACTCCCGATGCTGTCTACCATGGACCTACGACCTTCATCCCGCTAACATATGATCCATACACTGCTCCCAAGAAGATGGGAATCTTCCGGGAAGCCGAGCAGCATGCCTTCCAACATGTGAACGCTGGCGAGATTGTTGGTCGCATCCTGAAAAGCCGTGAAGCTTATGAAGCCAGGCAACGCGCGAAGCTGGACAAGGCCATTGCTGAGGATCTGGTGAAGTCAAAAGAGGCAGCTCAAGCAGCTCAGTAGGCTGTGGACCTCGGGGGAGTTGCGAGAAATACTAATTATGTAATGAAGATCAACTGTACATATGATGTTAGACCTCATCAACTGGGGTTTCTTCTTGAACAAGTGTCTACCTCATTCTTTCTGTGGCGGCTTGTGACAATTTGGTCTACTAGAGCAGATAGATTGGAGATTACCTTCCATTTGAACAACTATCTGACCAGCAGGATATTAGGACCAGAATACATTAGAGACAAATAATTTTACAGAGACAGCTATCTATCAAATTGATAGACTGACACCTTCCACTCGGGCTAGGCTGCTATTTATTCATCCGCCGCAACCAGAACACCCTTGGTCTCCAGAAGCTTTGCAAGCTCACCATTTTGGTGCATGGACATCAAGATATCACAACCACCAATGAACTCCTTGTCGAGGTATAGTTGGGGAATAGTGGGCCACTCAGAGTATTCCTTAACACCTGTAAACGCAGCACAATTAGCAATCCAAATCCGGCAAGTTCACCCGAGATAATCCCAACATACCTGAACGCAGCTCCGCATCCTCCAGCACGTTGAAAGCAACGAACTTCTTGGGATCAACACCCTGCAGGCCGAGGATTTGAATGGTGGCACGGGAGAAACCACATTGGGGAGTCTCGGGTGTACCCTTCATGAACAGAACGACGGGGGCGGAAGAAACCGCCTTATCGATCGCCGTCCGGGTCTCGTTGGACAGAAAGCGTGCATGGAGGACGGAAGGAATAGAAGGACCCGAGGGGAACTGGATGGCCGAACGGACGGGGCGCAAAAAGGTTGGCCGTGAGACCGGGCGGAAAGCCTGAATTCATGTGAGCTGGGGGAATCTTGCGAATGAATATTCTATACGTACCGATGCAACTGCTCTGGAAAACATTTTGAGGGTGATGGTTACAAAAGGTAAAGTTGCCTCGGGGAAAGTCCTGGAGGTTTAGTATTATTTAATCAGCGGTTGGTCCGACGGGTCTGTCGATCTCCACACTTCTATGCTCTCTAGGGCTCTATGAACCACTCGTCTTTTCTTCAGTCTTTTTTGCCTCTAAGCCTTTTTTTCATCTAGGTATTACAATGGATCCTCAAATACCGTCTTTTACTGCCCAGCAGTATACAAATGACAATAAGGTCCATGTGCTGCTGGCAGCTGCTACTATTAAGTTGCCCAACATTGCAGAGGCGCTATGTCGTAATAAAAACATATCAGTCCGCATCCTAGTCACCGAGCCAGAGAAGTTCCTTATCCGACAGAGCTCGGAACAGTCGGTCCTTGACACTCTGCTTCAAATAGATGGCGTGGACGCTATCTACCGGGACGAAGATGAATGGTCTCCGCCGTGGACGCGCGGGGGACCAGTCCTGCATATTGAGCTGCGCAAATGTCAGTGGCTATTTAGATACATGATATATGATACAATGGACCAACTAACATCATTACAGGGGCGGATGTTCTACTGGTTGCCCCAATGTCTGCAGATACCATGGCGAAAATGACCAATGGGATCGCCGATAACCTGCTTCTCTCGGTCATCAGGGCCTGGGATACGACTGGAGTAGTGGATATGGAATTCAAGACTCAGAAACCTATGGTGTTTGCAGCGTTGGATATGGACACCTGTATGTATCGACATCCAGTGACCGAGAAGCAGCTTAAAGTCCTGCGTGATGATTGGGGATGGAGTGAATCAAACTCCGAAGGCTGGGTGACCGTACTGCCTCCCATAGAGGAGAGTCAGACCAGCGGAGATGTCGACACCGGAAACATGATGGACTGGAGAGATATCGTCACTGCCATCCAAAACTATGTGGCGGGATTGGCGCAGAAGCCATGAACCAAAAAAAAAAGAACCAATCCTTGAACGCCTATCTATATTATACATGTTCATTGTGTTGGCTCGGCCACGCGCTCTGGCTCCGTCATATTGTACAGACCAAGGTATTGCATCGCATACTCGGCGAGCAAGCCCAAGGAGATTCCTCCACCGGTCAGCAGACATCCATTCTTGAACCACCACCAGCAGTTCCGAACATTCTTCAACTGAACCTTCCAAATCATGAGACCAAGCGACAAAATGGCGCTGCCACAGCTGCCAACGAAGAAAACAGGCCCGCAACCGGCGGCAACTCCTGCAGCCGCGAGGAGCGAGACCTGGGTCACTGCCAGACCACTCAGGACGGCCTTGGTGTTGTGCTCATGGCGGAGGGCAATTGACTTGATCCCGGCCTTGACATCGTCTTTAATGTCCATGTGTGCATAAATCATATCGTACAGAACTGTCCAAGCAATACAACTGGAATAAAGGGCACCTGCAGCCATCAAAGCATCATGATTGGCAAGCAGATCTACCCCCAACGCTGGGAAACCCATAATCGCTCCCCATGAAAAGGCAAGACCCAAGACAGCTTGCGGGTAATTGGTCACGCGCTTAGCAAGCGGGTAGGCCACCACGATAGGCATGCTAGGAAGCCCATACCAAAGGCACTGAGTAGGGAACGAAAGAAGCACACCCAATCCAGCCACCAACTGTGAGCCCGTAAAGAGAACCGCCTTTTTCGGCGAGACTGCACCTCTAGCAATGGGCCGGAACTTGGTGCGCTCGACGTGAGGATCCAGGTTTCGGTCCCATAGGTCGTTGATCGCGCAACCTGCGCCGCGCATGATCAGCGCACCGGAAAAGAACAATGCTGCCGTGCCCAGGACATGGAGCGGTGCCACACCAGCCATTGGTGCAGCGAGGAGGGTAGAAAATAGAGTTGGGAAGAATAGGTAGTATGTGCCCGTGGGTTTGTCTAGCCGCACCAATTCCGCATACGGTATCCATGAACTCGGCAGGGACGCAACCAAGCCTGTCTTCGGTGGGGTGTAGTGAGTGGCTGGGTTCTTCTCCGCGCCATCCGTCTCGATTGGTTGTATTGGGGGTGATTGCAACTGCGAGCTGTGTCGGACTTGGATTTGTGTTGTTCGTAAGGTATTGTATGAGACGACAGCGAGAGATCGGCTGCCGTTCAGTTGCGTTGAGGAACAGGCATTGTGAGCGAGTGTGGAAAGGCGCCCATTGTATAGACCAGTGAAGTTGACCTTCTGCCTATATGGGGATAGTCGAGCGCGGAACAGGCGAGAGCTGGTGGAAAGCATGGTGATGGCAAGGGATCTAGAAACCGAACATGGGTTAAGGTAATTGGCAATTGGCAATATTCATATTCTTCACAGAAGCCTTGAAGGTCTGGCCATCTGAAGATCTGGAGATGCCGGAACTTACATTGTCATGCAGGAAAAAGCGGCTTGGTTCCTCCCCCTAAGCCTATTTGGGGCATCAGATCTGTGGAGTCGCCTCTTAATATACCTGGACTACTAATTATATAATGAGCTGAATGTTATCAAAGTACCTTCAATCTAAAGAAAGAGGTTGAATAAACTCCAGGTCCCCTTGGAAAATATAAATGTACGTGAAATTGTGAAATAAGACAATGTGATAGTTCACATGTATGTTTCTGCCTGAGGCCATAAAACGCGGCATCCCGCGTTCCCCCAGAACTTGAGGATCGGGCGAACTGAAGGGAAAGCAGCATCACTTTCTTTCGCATCCCTCAATCTGATTTTATACCTCTCGACTTCCGAGCTTAAATTGACATCTTCTACTCTCCGGCTCCATCGACTGTGTACCCGCCCACTCTGTTCCTTCCAGCTGCCAATCATCTCAACCTTAACCACCATCACGCCCGCACAAGAGAAACAGCAAAGAACAGCACAATCCACCCAGTCAGCCAACAATTCTGAATCACATGCAACCTCAGTACTGGATTCGACTACCAACCGTCTCCTTCAAACCATGAACTTCGCTCCTGCGATCTTCGCGCCGGTTACAATCTAATAAACATCGATATCTTGCCCTTCCTGGGGCTCTGCGCTCGCCATGCCGGCGCATCGAACTCGCCTGGCTTTTGAGCCACTCTCGCCTCTCCTCAACATCAATCGGGTTGTTGAATCCACTCCCAATTTTGAGTTTGCGATGGAAATCACATGCGATTCAATTGACGAATTCCCGCTTGAAGATTTTGAGAAGCTAGTCTTGTACCAAGTTGTCCTGAGTGGGAGACCATTGGTCATCAGAGGATTTCAAAAACGTCTTGACAAGCGTCTTTTCTCGGAGAAATGGCTCCGAGAAAAATACGGAAAGAAAGGTGAGCTCGCGTTATTGAGTCATCGCATCCTTCGTTGATTGATGCTAACTGCAACCTCTCTTCATAGTCGAGGAAGTTCGAGATCTAGGGAAAAAGAAGTCATTTAATTTCAGTATGGGTCACTATCTGGAAAGCCTGTCACTGCTCACTCGGCAGGTGACTGTGCACAATTACACAAACAAAGCACTCCAACGACTCTACCTCAAGGATATCGACTGCCCTCCCGAGTGGCGCGCTTACCTTGAGAACCTGTTACCGCCTTCACTTTTCTACCTCAATGAGACACCCAAAGCATTTGAAGGCCCTGCGTCGCAAAATATGAACCTGTCTGAAATCCCTAAGTCCATAGAAGGCGACTTCATCGCGCCAGCGGGCGATTTGATGAGCAGTCTGCCTGTAAATATGCGGGCGGAGAACCTGATGTGCTATATTGGCCATGAGGGCACTTACACGCCAGCACACCAAGAAATGTGTGCCAGTCTTGGTCACAACATAATGGTCGATGCGTCCGACGGAACTCCAGAAAACGGCAAGCCAACGGAACCGGGTTCTTCAATCTGGCTCATGACAGAGACTAAAGATCGGCGGGTTGTTTCCGAATACTGGATGTCTGTTCTTGGACATGATATTGACATTGAGGATTTCTTTGCTCCCTTGCATGCATGGGAGATTGCACCATTCAAGACATGGGTTGTCGAGCAGAGGCCCGGCGACCTCATTCTTGTGCCCCCTCTTGCTGCACACCAGGTTTGGAACCGCGGGACTCGGACGATGAAAGTTGCCTGGAATCGCACTACCGTGGACACGCTTGAGCTAGCTCTGCGTGAAGCCTTACCGCATGCGCGAATGGTTTGCCGCGATGAACAATATAAGAACAAAGCCATTGTTTACTTTACTCTTGAGCGATATTCAAAATTGTTGCGGCAAGCAAAGAAGGTTGACCATCCGGTGGTGAAACAACTCCGGGATGATTTCAAACGACTCTTTAATATGTACAAGGGCATTTTGTTGTCTGAATCTTTCTCGCAAAGAAACCCAGAAAAGAACGTGGAGTACCACGAGTTTCAGAGCAATGTCACCTGCTCCTTTTGCCGATGCAATATATTCAACAGGTTTCTTACCTGCCCTGGCTGTACAAACTCTCTTGGCGGCGACGATGACCCTTATGATGTATGCATGGATTGCTACGTTATGGGTAGAAGCTGTGGCTGCGTTTCTAACCTAAAATGGATGGAACAATTTCCATGGAAGCAGTTGACAGAACGCTATGAAACATGGCGACGGCTGATAATTTCCTCCGATGACAATAACAAGGATTTGAGGATTCAGTTCCCTACCTTCGTTGTCGCCCGCGGTCAGGCGGGCAAAAAGTCTGTAGCGGAGATCTGCCAAGAGCAATTGGTGCGCCGCCCCTGGAATGACCCGAAAAATCCCAAGCCCGTAGTAGACGATACGATTGAAGACGCTGGTAGCAACTCCGACGGCAACGGCCGGTCTAAAAAGCGACGCAAAATGCGGCAGTCTCTCAAGGCCAAATCAGATAATGTTCACCGCTGTCATGTTTGTCTCCATTTCGAAGTCGACTGGAAGCTCGCGCCATGTTCAAACTGTGACCAGCGCTATTGTTATGGCAGTTTGTTCCGGGCGTTTGAGATCTCACCGCAGGAGGCGATGGAGAAATATCACTGGCTATGTCCAAAATGCCGGAAGGAATGCAGTTGCGGTGCTTGCCAGAAAGACCCATCCATGAAGCCTTACGAGCCTAATTGTACAATTTTGGGCCATGACACTAGCAAGGTGGCCGATCCCCGCAGCATCGAGACCTTGGTGGATTTCCGGAAATCGAATCTATGGTGGTTGAAGAAATTCGGTGACGATGTTCATGGACGCATTCAAAAACGCCAGAAGGAAGCCGAAGAAGCGGAACTGGAGCGACAGAAAACCCTTGAAAATCAGGGCTTCAGCTTCGAGTCCAGCCCATTCGACCAGCCGGTACAGAATGAAAATGGGAACGATGAAAACCCACTGGTCTTTGATGAGAACGATGGGGGCATCCCCGTTGATCCATCGTTGATGATGCAGACCTCTGATACGGGCACTTGAATCGGCTCCTACACTTCGCCGGATTTGAGCGTACAACTAGGATCACTTGCGAAAGATGATTCAAAAGAGACATAAAAAAGATCAAAAGATTCTTGTGGGATAAGTGTATTACCGCAAACTACGACGAGCACTGAATATTTGCGCATGGGTTTTTGATTCAGAGAATCGGAACGATGTATGATTTGTGATTCCCCGAAGGGTTTATCTCTTCTGCGACACCATGGTTTAAGAAAAATCTGGCTGTACTATAATACTGAACATATGTGTTCAAGTTGATATCAATTTGAATTCGAGAATTAATATTAGGCACCTTTGTACTCATACTGTAGATCCTTGAGGGATGCAAGGTCAACAGAGAGCATGACCTTTTGAGCAAGTAGAATCACTGCCAGCATGACTGTACATGGTCAGACTTGGTATCTCCTAACCGAGAAAGAAGAGACTTACTTCCAGGAATCAAGTATAGCACTGGCCGGATCCCATAAGATGATCCTGTAGAAAGATAGACCAGGCCCAGCAACAAGCAAACGGCACTGGTGCCAGGTACTAGAGCGGCATGAATCCGAGCAATACGTTCGGTGTGGAATGTCACAGGCTTTTTGCCTTTGCGATCAGGCTGGAGGGGGAGCATTTCATGATATAGGCCGTCGTCAACAACGAGACAAGGCTGAGGAGCGAGAACAATCGCTCAGCCTGACCGGAGGCTGACAGCACCGAAGGCACAAATACTGTGGCAGCCAGCAGTGGAAGTGCAGTAAAAATCATCTGGGAACATATTTAGCATGGATTCTCGATACTCGACTATAAAGAAAGAAAGATATGTACACTGTACTGGGCATTGCGGGCATCATTCTGGATCTGCAACTGCTCGATGACCCGTTCTTGTTCTTCTTCATCCAACTCCTCTCGCTCGCTCTCCGACTCCTCAGGGTATCGAAAAGCCTTTCGCAATCTCACTGCGGCCATTTCTCGAAATCACGAATTCAAAACATAAGCGTTGTATCTTCAATCGTTGGTGGTGCAGTGACGTCGAAAGGTCAAAGCTGTTTGTCTTGTTTGGCACTCTTTTCTTCCGCAACCTCCCCCCAAATCCAACCACCAGCCCGCGAAACACCAAATAAACCCCCCCCCCAAACACAGCTATGTCCTTCTTTCGAGTATTCACGCGGCGCGCGGCGCTCGCCCGGAAATCTACACGACCCAACACAGTCAGTCGACGGACAATGATTGCAGCCCCAGGCCCGAACGCAGGACCACTACTGGAACGACGTGCGGACCGCGAGCTACCGAACCCCAAACCAGGCCGAAACTGGCTTCTCACATTCCCGATTTTCGCGCTGGCGACGGGAGCAGGCATACTTGGAATCTTCAATTACCAGAAGTCGTCGTCGAGCATCGTGAGCAGCACCCTTTATGCGCTGCGGACGTCGCCGCGGGCTCGCGAGATCCTGGGCGATGAGATCTACTTTGCGCAGCAGATCCCGTGGATCAGTGGCGAGATGAATCAATTGCATGGTCGCATTAATATCTCGTTCTGGGTTAAGGGGACTAAGTCTGAGGGCAAGATGAGGTTCCGAAGCATTCGGCCGGATCGTATGAGCTATGTGAGTATTTGGTCTACTTGGGATTATGACGTGTCCTACCCCAGTATAATAGTTGCTAACTTCTTTTCTCTCTTTTCTAGTTCCGTACTGAGGAATGGAGTCTGGAGACTGAGGATGGAACGGTGATTCAATTGCTCGACGGTGATAAGGATCCCTTCCAGAAGGACTAAATATCGGGGGAGAAGTGTACAGATACAGCAGTGCATTGGCTCGGGCGTTTGGGGACATTCTTTATGGGACCATTTGTTGCGTTATCAACTTGGCGAAGCCATTGATTTTTTTTTTCTCAATGGCTGAGAGAAAAAAGGAAGAAGGATATCATTTTTTGTATCATATACAAACGCCGCTCAAGTCAAACAATATCGCGCGTATGGTGTAATAGTACATGGTCAGAACTAAGAAAAGAAATCTCCAATTAAGCAGTAGCAGGCTCCGCCGACTCTGCCTGTGGCACTTCGGGCCATGGCTTCTTGATCGCATCCTGGATTCTCACAACACAGCCCTTGGGACCACTGACGGCACCTGAAGGAAAGTAGATATGTTAGTAAAAGAAAATTCGGAACTCAGAGCAGCTCGAGATCGAATCACATACCACTGACAACCACAACACCATTTTCAGAATCCACCTTGAGAATCTTCAAGTTCTGAACGGTATTCTGATTATTGCCCATGTTTCCAGCCATCTTCTTTCCGGGGTAAACACGAGAACCACCACCCTGACCAGGACCAGAAGAACCCATCGAACGATGCGTCAAACTAACACCGTGACTGCGATCCTGACCGTGGAAACCATGTCTCTTCATGACACCAGCAAAGCCCTTACCCTTAGTATTGGATCGAGCATCAACATACTGGCCCTCCTGGAACCAACCCGCCTCAATACTCTGACCAATAGGCATAAGACCCGCCTCGTCCTTAACACGGAACTCAAAGATATGGCGCTTAGGCGAGAGCCCATTAACCGAGAAATGACCCAGCATCGACTTGTTCACATTATTCGGATGCTTCCAGCCCGCACCAACCTGCACAGCATAGTAACCGTGTCTCTCACGGGTCTTGTGGGAGATAACCTCGACACGATCCAGCTGGAGGACAGTGCAGGGGATGCGCTTTCCAGTCTCGGGATCGTAAATAGCAGTCATTCCCTTCTTGATACCGATAGCACCAGTGCGGAGCGGGAGGGAATTGGCTTTGCGGCGGAGAGCCGCTGTCGACGTCGACTCGAGGACTGGCAGGCCGGGCCCGACATTGAATCGACTGGGTTTGGGCGGGTTGAGGGCTCGGATTCCGAATGAGCGCACGGGGATCCGGGGAGTGATCAATGGGGCACCCCATACGGGTGAGAGCTGAAGTAGCCCTCCTAAGCGCGGCGACATGGTGGGTTGATATTGGGAGGGAGATTGGGGGTGCTCGTGGCTTGAGAACTCGGGAAGTTTTTGGTGTTGGGGCTTAGTCAGCGCCTATGTTGGTCGAAGTATACAACTTGTCAGCGGCCATGTTTCACGCGTTTAACGGATTGAACTAAGACTTATTGGACAAATAATAGGGGGGGGAAGCTATATACATCATCTGAGCAACTCATCTACCTTCTTCTATCATATACGATCTCCTTTCAAAACCAACACTAAGACAACCCGCATTAATCCCTAACTCCGGCAAAGACACGCCAGCCCGATCGGACCGGAAGCCGAAAACGCCGAGAAACCAAAAAAACGAGAGAATTCCATGTCCTCAACATTAATCCCTCATTGAATCTCACACAACCCCCTCAATCGAGAACACCAGGGGAGACATAACCATGTCCCTCCGCCCAACGCTCCTCACAAAATGGATCTCGCGCCCCAGTGAGATCCTCAAAACCCCAAGCTTGACCTCATACCTCCACCCCTCGGCCCGCCCATCCCTCCCACGCAGTACAATCTTCTCTCCGGGACCACAAGCATCACGACGAAGCTTCGGGACAACGCGATTCTCGACGCGCACCCGGCCGGGCCCGAGCTCGTTCCAGTTCAAGCAGCGCCGGTTCAATTCTGGGTCGGCTGGCGGCGGCAAGAGCTCTGGGTCCGGAGCTGGAGCTGAGGAGAAGGCGTCGCTATCGCAGCGATTGAAGAAGCTATCGCGAGAATATGGATGGGCTGCGCTAGGCGTGTATCTTGGATTGTCTGCGCTGGATTTCCCATTCTGTTTTGCGGCTGTACGATTGCTTGGTGTTGAGCGCATTGGATACTATGAGCATGTTGTTATTGGATTTGTTAAGGATAAGCTCAAGACTGTGTGGCCACAGACTAAGGGTTCTGAGGAGGATGGGCAGGGACAACTTGCTCAGGCTGAGGAGCGGAATCAGGAAGAAGCTAGTAAGTTTTGGTTTGTTTGTTTTTTTTTGAGTTGAGTTGAGGTGCTGATTGGTTTTGGCAGGTATCTGGACGCAGTTGGTTTTCGCTTATGCCATTCACAAGAGCTTTGTGTTTATTCGAGTGCCGTTGACAGCGGCTGTGACGCCGAAGGTTGTGAAGACGTTGCGTGGATGGGGTTGGGATATCGGGAAGAGAAAGCCTAAGAGTACATGAAGGTGATGTGATTATATATGTAGCATAGCGGGAGATACAGGACTTGGGATTTGGACCATTGTACATTATTAGCCATTCAACTCTCTAATACGGCAATCTTTTTTTTTTTTTCTGCCTCTCAAAACGCTCTGACGATCAACGTGTAATCGACAACAGGCCAACTAAAACACAGCCCAGCTCTATCTCCAGCGCCCATGATGAGATAGGAAATGATCGAAGGAAAGCAAGAGAATGTGCGCTGGGGACTATCTCTGCTTGAAATAAGTAGCCAAGAGCAAAGTAGAGAACACGAGAATAAAGCAAATATGGCGTGACAAAAGCTACCTAAGCTCATAATCTTCGTTGAAAAAAAATTAAATTGCGACGTATGTAAAGGGTGTTCCCAAAGGAAAAGCAAGTATGAATCGAATCACATGTCGATCATATCGTTAAATCTCAGAATGCCGTTGGCTCTCATCACACCGTTGACACCCTCGGGCATACGGTATGCCCATTCGGCAACGCCCATGGTATCGGTAGCGGGTAGCTCTTCGAATCGGTCCGACTGCCCGGACTCATCAGAGGTGTCGGCCACAAGCACAAGTCCGAGCTCCTTGATAGTCTCGACGAGTGCGGGGACGACATTCTACACAGTGGTCAGCAGGCTAACTAGAGAGAAAAAAGAGACCGCGCGAAAATAGGATCAAACATACCAAAAGGCTAGATCTGCAGATCAGGCCCATAAAGTTATTGCTCTGGGCAATACGAGCAGACTCCTTGATCGACATCGAGGTCCGGCCACTGCTATTGACATGGGGCATCGAGTCGACGTTCCCAGCCAGGTCCCGAATTTGACCAAGATCGTTGCAAAGAAGAACAGGATCTAGTCATAGAGTTAGTAACAAGCACAAGTTGAACTGTATTTTGGACCTCACAATTGGGTTGCTTCCAGTTAAGAGCACTGCAGATGTTCGGGTTGTAGGACGTGAACACCACAGAACGCATGAATTCCGGGTTCTTTTCACGGGCCACACGGGCGTGATCGAAGACATCGGTCAGGATAACATCGGCGAAGGTGTTGACATCTGCCAAGGAAGTCATATCAAGCTTCTTTTCCTCCGCAGCTGATGGGTAGAGGAGGGAGATATTGACATTCATTTCAATAGGGAGTCGGCGCAAGACTTCGCGCAACGACAAGAACGACGCCGCGAGGAGTCGATGAGTCTGCGGCATGTCACTCGTGGCTTCTGTTTCCAAGAACTGGAGGATCTGGGTGTTATTGGCACCGCGGTTTGCGCCAATGGCCTGGAACTGAGCATATGTTAAATGAGAAACAGGGATATCAATTCCGTGGTGGTTGATCATAAATTGTGGGTAAAGGACTGCGACGCGGTCCCGGGTCAGTTGTACAAAGAGCTGAACATAATCTCCCGACAAACTGGAACCAGTCACCAGTCCGTTGTGCTCGGAGTCAAGAGCACTAGTAGCCTTCCAATATGTAGCAAAGTGGGTGATCTCCAGAGGATCTCCGTGGTATGGCTTGATGACTTGGAAGTTGAAGCGCAGCTGGCCGATTGAACGGAGCCGGGGGTCGAATAGAGGCAGACAGCCTGAGCCAGTGCTGGACGACTCGGCGCGGAAGATGTCTGGCAGGGCCACACTCTTTGCAATCACCTTTGAACCAAAGGTAGGGAAAATCTCAAAGTCCACAGCAAAGGTGTCCAGGTTATCCACGTGGAACGATATTGTGCGTGTCTCCTCCTGGATGGGTAGCATGACAGTGCGAGGAATGAGATCTGACAGCTTGGAAGAGATGGTCATGCGAGCAGCAGGATGGCGGCCCGCCTGATCAAAGGCGATAGACCCGACATTTCCTTGATCGAACAGAAGCTGAACGAACACTTTCTTGTCGAGGAAGTTGTGACCATAGCGGCGGAGAGGGATAATGGGGGGAGGCAATTCAAGATCCGGGATTCCATCGGCCATTTCCATTTCGGAGAGGTTCGTGTCCATGGACATCTGGTCACCCATCGGGCCGGGTTCTTGCATCCGCACGCCATTGAGAATGTCAAGCGGTCCCATTGCAGCCTTTCTACCGGAGGGCTGAGCCCAGAGCAGAAGCATGCACTCCAGATTCCCTTCCCAGGCAGCATAGTACATAGACGAGAGACCCTTTTCATCTACGACATGAGAATCAACACCGCACTCGAGGAGAGTGCGTAGGCAGGGAACACAGCCTTCGCTGGCTGCGTGGAACAGCGGAGTCCACTGGTACAGCTTGTCCTTCTGGTCAAGATCAGCACCGTGCTCCTTTAGCAGTAGTAATAGCTCTGGCGATTGTGAGGCGCGTGCAACCATATGCTGGGGGTAGAGTCCCTCTGCATCCGGCAACAACTTCGCATTTCGCTCAAGTAGCATATTCGCGATGGGGAGAGAGCCGTGTTGACAGGCGAGATTCAAAGGGATATGATCCGGGCCCTTCACGGGGCGATGGTCCATTCCCTTCAAAGGGGGTGACTCGGGCTCCGGATCGACACGGGCATTGTTACACAGAACCTGCTCGGCGCATGCCAGTTGGCCCTTTACAATGCTGTGGATAAGAGGGGTGAAATTGTCATGGTCCATGATGTCAACGGTGTGAGGGCCTGCTTCGAGCAGATGTCGCACCATATCCACGCGGCCGTGCATGCACGCGTAGTGGAGAGGGATTCGGCCATAGACATCGGCGCGGGCGAAATCAACGCCTGCTTTAAGACCTGCGTGGAAGACGAATGATCGGCCCGAGATTGCCGCTTCATGGAGGCAGTTTCGTTCGTTGATGTCGTCCTCAGCGTGTATGTCAACCAGTTGGCTCTCCAACAGCAGAGCGAGCACTTCGTCTGAGAATCCGTTGATGGCGGTCAGGAATGTACGGGTGGCGCGCTCGCGGGCATCCGGCAACTGCTGCAACCTGGCTATCCATTCACGCAGTGTTTGCAGATTGCCGGTGGAGGCTGACTGCAAGATCTGGGTGTCCATTTCATCCTCTTCCGACCCTAAAGGTGCGGTGCGCTCCAATGGACGTGAGGCGTCATATTGAATGTTCTCGCCCTCGGCCCAGGCCTCCAATTCCAGTCGTGCGGTGGTAGCTCTATCTGCAAGGTCTCGAAGAACTTCACGGTTGAAGCACGGTTGTACTTCAACGGCCCGGTGCAGATACAGCTCCTTCATGCGAGACTTGGAGGTTTTGTCCCATTTCTTGAGGATTTTGGACATGGCAGTCTCATTGATCTCCACGAATTGCTGCAGTTTGTTCAGGTCGCCATCGAATTGTTGGAAGCCTTCAAACATAGCGGCAAAATTCGACGGTGCTTTGGAATTTGAGATCGCACGGGACTGGGTTACCCGCTTCTTGTCGACCAACGTCCTTAGGCGCAAAGAAAACTAAAGCAAACTGATAAGTCTCCGGGTAGGGTTATAACTGTGCACTGGATAAATGGCCATACCTCTGATTCTTTCTGAAGGTAAAAAGTGTTCACCTTGTCAATCTCTCGTTCCTATACACCATGATAAGTACATCCACCTTCCCATATGCATGAAATTATCCGGACAACCTACCAAGCGGAAGAAGAACACCTCCTTGTTTGCGCGCAAAGCGCCTTGAGGGTCCGCATTAGCTCTCGCGATTTCCTCGGCTGTTCTCTGTGCCGGGATAGTCGGGGTGGCGCTAAGTTGCTTGATCAGCTGTGCAGAAATTAGCCATGTTCATATTCTCTTGCAACCGCGCGCACATGCATGTTCAACCAACCTTCTTCAGCGCCTTGTAGTTAACAAAGCTGGCAGCATATTCGGGAAGATCTAGCTGCCTGCGCTGGATCTGTTTGCCAAACTTCCTATTAAGTCAGGACATATCAGCAGCAGCTCGAGTCATGGATCAGCCGGTAGCCGGAGCTGCAGGGCATACGTACATATTTGCACACTCTCGGAGAGAGCTTTAGCTCTCCCGAGCTCTGGAGACCGAGGTCGCAACAGTAGTGCAAGCTCAGCAAGACAGAGCTGAGAGCTAGGAGAATGAGCGATATGAATGGGCGAGGGTAAGGTGGAAGGGTGTCAATGGGAGGGGGAAAGAAAAAAAAAGACAGGGTGGGATGACAAGGACACGTTTAGGAGAGTTGGTACGCTGGCAAGAGGGGGCCGTTAATGCGCAACCACAGTGGGGAAGGATGATAGTGGGACAGTGTCGACGGAGTGACACAAGTAGATAAAATGTGTGACGTTGCGTTGGGATGCTCTCATAGATTGGAGGGCTAGATGCTAAGAGAAGGAGTAGAGGATGGAGGGATAGAGGGTTAGAGGGTTAGAGGGTCAGAAGCGGTGATGATAGAGAGATAGAGATAGCGGGGCAAAATCTCGAGCGGGCATATACAGAGACCAGGTACGAATGAAATAGGGCACCTCTATAGTTCGAGTCTAACGGATGGAAAAGCTGCGAGGTGCAATTAAGCCGGGGAGTGGGGAACTGGGTGAATCATTTATCACCAATCACCGCGAACAGCGGACGCACGTTTTTAACTTACTGGCAGACACTACATGTACGAACATGTATCTTGTGCATTTCCATAGTTTTATTATATTTAGTAGATTTAGTAGATTTTAGTGGTCTTTAGGATATTTTAGTTAAAAGCGTATTATTTCTATCCCGAGGTCTGAAGGCATTTGTTCGACCGATTCTGCCAACATTCTCCGTGGAACTATACTCCATATATGTGGAAATCATTCAATGTAAACCTTTTATTTCAAAGACTAGGCGGGAGTGAATCCACACCCATATCATTGCAAATCTCGAGTATGTCCACATGCATGGAAAACTCCATGCTCAACAGGAAATGTACAAGACGCAGCTCCTTATAATTCCATGTAGACATGAACAAAAACAGTAAACAAGGTGTGTAAAAAAAAAAAAAAACAAGCTATGCAGCTGAGACCAGATGCGCGGGATATATCAAACACAAAGATGACCAAACCAAATCAAAGCCCGACAGGCCGATTAAGAAAGAGAGAGAAAATGAGAAAAAAAAAGTGTAGAGGAGAATAGAGGCATGACGAAGTGAAGGTCCACGGCGCCGGGAATTGGAACGTGAGAGACCCGAAAAGAACGAATGAAGTCGGCGGTGGTCGAGAAAGAGCGTGTGGTATTGTGCAAGATTAAAAAAAAAACAAAAGGGAAATGTCGAGCTTTTAGGGTTCAAAGATTATAGGAAATCTGAATCAGTTGGACCATTAGAAGTTCTGGGCGATACCGGCATTGCCCTGTCGTGGATAAACACCAGGATTCTCGATGCGAGTATTGCGGCGCGCCTGGACATCGCGGATCACAGGCTGGTAGTCTTCGCCGCCGTAAGCGCCGTGTGTGTTAATGTCACCGTAGTACGGGTTCTCGCCGTAGTAGCCACCAGAGGGGTGGGCAGCGGACATGTGACTTTCCTCTGACGCCTCGGAACGATTGGCTGCGGAGTAAGCGGAGGATGCATTGGAAGGGCCGCGGTGGATGTCGCCGTTGCGATTGTTTGCAGCCACTGGGGCGGCACCCAGCACGCCGATAGGTTCAACAATCTCGCCAGAGTCGGGCCGGGCGCCATCGGAATATTGAACGGTGCCTTCGCTGGGTGTTGCGCCGTGGTGATAACCGGGGCTGCTTCCTTCCGACATGGCTAGGCCACCCATTCCGCTGGAGAGGTTGGTGGACGCCTTGCGCCCGGCAGAGGTGGTTCCCCAGCCGCGGTAGCCAGAGGATCCGTCGTCCTTGGGCATCACAACGCCGCCCATACCGGGAAGGGATGGGTCGTTGTTTGGGTTGAATCCGTACTCCTCTACTTCCTTGCGGCGTTCCTCCTCGGCCGCCTTGTTCGCCTTACGCTTACGCCAGAAGAAGAGCAACGCCAAGATGATCAATGCCACCGAGGCAACCGGGACAACGACGGCGACAGCGATTGTGCCACTAGGAGAAAGACCACCAGAAGAGCCTCCAGCTGCGGTGGAGGTTGCGAGTGTGGCCGAATCGGTTGCGCTGGTAGACGCGGCATTGGTGTTGGATGGCTGTGTTTGAATGGAGGTGACAACAACCACGGTAGTTCCCTGGCTGCCACTGGAGATCGATGAAAACGTGGTCGTCTCGGGAGCTTCAGTGGTGGATGGAGCGGATGTAGTAGAAGAAGTGGAGGTGGATGACGTGGAAGTGGACGGAGTGGATGTAGACTCGGGGGTCGTGGTAGGCTCGGTCGTGTGCGTGCTACTAGTGCTACTCTTCGTGGTACTGGTGGTAGTCGGTTCAGTTGTAGTGGATGTGGTGGGAGCAGGCGCAGGCGAAGGGGTCGTTTCGGTTGACGCGGTGGTAGGTTGGGCGGCAGTTGCTGCACTGGTCTCAGCGGACGGTGAAGTCTGGGCAGCAGTGTCCTCGGGAGCAGGTGCGCTAGAAGGCAGAGCGGCGGCCGCGGCGGCCGCGGCGGCAGCAGCGGCACCGGCTGTGGATGGTGAAGCCATCTTCAATAGAAATGTCGGTCAATGTGAAGAATAGATGATCGGTGAGATTGGCGGATGTTAGGATCAAACGTGATCCTGAACCGCGACACCGGTCGGCGAGTTTTGAGAGATTAGGGACACTTCCGGATGCAGAAATAATTTTCGGATTGAATCAGACTGTAAGTCACAATTTCGAATCCAAGTTAATAAATTGATTTAACGAGAGACTGCGGTTTGAACGCGTAAGGAGAGATGGGGGGTCGGAGGCTCAGGGGAAAATCGGTGATATCTCAGGTACCGGGATAGAAGAGAAGAGAAGGAGAAAAAAAAAAAAAGGAAACGGATGAAAGAGATGAATACTCACAACCTCTCGCCGAATCTGGTAGCCATGGGATGAGAGAAGTGTGTGAGAGAGAGAGAGAGAGAGATGGAAGTGGGAAAGTGGAGATTTCTTACGATTGCGGCGTATCCGCATTCCTAGTTGTATTAATAGGCACTTATATTTTACTTATGTTCTGCTTATATCGTACTAAAAAGCACACTTGAGCATGGTCTAATTTATGCTACTCTTAAGTTGCAGTTGCATTGCGACATACTGTTTCTGGTAGCCCCTAGATCCGGCCATGCGACCATATGGTTATGTACAGAGGATATGATATTCTCTAACGCTCTCGAATACTATCTAATACTGTCTAATACTCTCTAATACTACCCTAAAATGTCTGGAAACAACTTGAACATATGGATATTTACGATTGTTTTTGAATATTCGGTACCGAAGAACCAAGATGAGGGTACCCATGGGAGGGCCTGACTGTGAGAAACCTTGGCCAAGGCAGATTCCAAGGTTGAATTATTGTAAATGTCCATTCTCGTATACTCGAGGTCAATGATGCAGAATGTACTCAGTTGCCACTATTTTTGATTTTGATTCTCCACAGTGTCATAAAGTTTTTCAGTATTAAAAAATACGATCGGCATAACATAATCTTGTTTTCTGCATCTAGCCCATATGAATATTAAAATTACTGTGGTCTCTCATATTTGCCCCTGATTTGGCGCTCGGCCCGATGTCTCCATAGAACTCTCAACTTCCCTAGCCGACTGCTTAATTGCTACGGAGTAGTATGCACATGCATACATATGTTGTACACCAAATTTTGAATAATCTAGACCGTTTCAAGATTTGGAGTACTATCTTCTACAAGCCAATCTCTACCAATCCAAATATATACAGCCCAGAGACTGGGTAGAAGAAATGAAAGTTCAATATGGTCACGGGGAAAAATCCAACCATCATCTATTTACGCCGTTGACAGCAGATTTCCAAAAGGAGAACGAATATAAAAAGGGGGCGATGACCATCACCCCCCACAAAAGCTCAAGCACCGGGGGACCCAGATGAGAAACAAAAAAAAAAAACAAATCAGATCATCACGTGCTCTTATACAAGGTACCAAAACAACAAAGTCATGACATTGGAAAGGCAACAAAGCCACTTCCTTACGCGTTGTTCATATCCCACTTCGGACGCAGAGTAGCCATCATGTCGTCCCTAGTGCCGACCGCCTCGGCCGGCAGACGACTGACACGGTAGTTGCCCATGCGGATATTATTTTGGTGATGAGCAGAGACAACCGTCCGGGCACTGCGGATACTACCCGCGTCGCTGCCGGTGCCACCCTCATTCTTGAAACGCGGCGGCGGCACAAAGTCCAGGTTGGTGAACGTGCCAGATTTGCGCAGCGCGTGGGGACTGGGCATCACGGCGAGCTCTTCAAAGGCAGATACTAGTGGTGTGTGGGCACGCACACCAGGGATGTAGGGGCGCACGCCACCGGTGGGTGTCTCGGGGCGACCCGCGCGGCGGTCCTTGAATCCATTGGCCGGGGCAAAGTCCATAGCCATCATGAAAGAGTCGTCCGTCAACATGTGAGGAGTAGGAAGGACGTGCAGCGGCGATGGGGGTGGGATTGGTTTCTTGGGGCCGCGGGGACCGGGCATACGACCAGAGGCAGATGAGAAGGCCCGTGGCCCGGGCATGCCGCCTCCAGCGGAGTTGGTAGCCATGTGGCGGGCGGCTCCCTGGAAGCGTGGGGGTGCACGAGGCGGCGGTGTCATCGCACGACGAGTGATCGGCTCGGCGAATGGAGCAGCACCATGAGAGGCATCATAATACTCGCCAGTAGTTGGGTCGTAGATGAAACCGGCTGAATTGCCTTCGTTCTCATAGAACTCGGGCCCGAAGTCCTCGTAGTATGTGGGCTCCTGGCCGCCCTTGCTCTCATCGAAGTACTCCTTGTAGAAGGAGCGAATCCGATTGGCACGCTGTTCTGGGTTGTCGGCAGGGTCTTCTGGGGGCAACGGACGCAAACCGAGAGTCATCCGGCGGGTATCGCGGCGGCTATCATATGCCGCATCCAGGTTTTGAGGCTCCTCTGGGAGTTCTGGATGCTTGTTATCGTGACTTGGGGCATTATGTTGCTGTAGATCTTCTGTGCCATGGACATTGACCGCAGGGAGATTGTATTGCGACTTGCGGTCATCCCCGTAGTCACTAGTGGTAACATCGCTGGCCGGCAGGGAAATACGAGGAAGCTGTGATGCAGGAACCTGGCCATGGTTCAAGTCTTGTGATTGAGAAGGCTCAGGCAGCGGGAAGTTGAGGCGCCCTTCATGCTGGTTGTTATATGTGTTGCCATATGTCTCATCCAGTCCGAAGTTGAGGCCCGAAGAGGAATCCACATGAGGCAGGGGCTCTGGGGAGGCAATCCTGTTGCCATTGGGACTTCCAATAGCCATGCCGGGTCGCTGTGCAGCAGGTGGATGCGTCACCCCGGGAACTTGCCCAAGGTAGTCATTGTGCTTGTTTACAGGACTGCGTGCATGAGATTCGGTCGGGGAGGAGTACACTGGTGGATCTGAACGAGACATCCTCTGTGCATTCTGGAGAAGACCCGAGCTGCCATCATCTCCAAATCGAGAGCCCGCGAAGCTCGATGCATCATCCCGGTGTCCCCTAGGGTATGACCGAATGGAGGCTGTGGCCGGGCGGTATTTGTCATCATCTATTGACAGGGAGTGTAGAGATTCCGGGGAACCGTTCAGGTTTGGAGGCATCAGATATGGACCGACATCAAGAGACAATCCTTTGGTGTGGTTGGGTTCTGACATCGGAGGCATTCCATTGGGGCCATTCCTCCGAGTTGCGGGCCCCACTGTATCCATTCCAAAATCGAGAGATTTGTGTTTATCCATTGCATCTTCCCGCATAAGTTTCTTGACATGTCTCCGGTGAAGCACAATGAGGACGATGATAGCACACAAAATGGGAAGACCTGCACCGAGAACGACAGGCAAGACCGTCGTTGTCAGGTTGCTAGTGGGCTTTTCTCCCGTAATTGCCGTAGATGCTTCGGCTCTTGGTACGAGGGATGGAAGCTTGGTAGCTATAGAGGAGGTTGTGGGGACCAAAAATGGCAATCGGTTCGGAGGGATTACATCCCGACGAAGGTGGTTTCGCATCACCAAGCCGGCGTGGTGAGCGTGAGACATAGTCGATGTAGTCTGGTCTATAGGGATAGACCCCGACTTGTCTGGAACGTGGAGACCGGTCAACACGTTTAAAATGGCGATAGCCGCTCGAGATTGATGCTCGTCATCTAAGTTCAGGGTCACACACTTGAGAATTCAGGAGTTTATCTCGATGGGAAAAAAAAAGAGTGACTATAAGCAATATAAAAGAGTGAACAGGACTAGGTCCCTAAAAAGAGTGTCGGCCAGCCAAAGTAAATCTGGATAAAGAGAAAGAAGAAAAGAGGAGAAGGAGAGAAGAGTGAGTTCTAGAATAGTGGACTCGAATAGTGGACTAGCGTTATACAGAGACTTTGTATTGTACAGGTACCTCTCCGCATCCCCCTGAGTCTTAATTTAGAACATAGGGAAGTTTTTACTGTTGTTATTGTTTCGGTTTGTTTCTTTTTGTTTTTTCTATGCTGATCTCCTGATCCTTCACCTCTTTAATCTATTGGCACAAGTTGACTCGAATGCACCAAGCAAGGCGAGGTGTAAGACACTTGACCTCCAGATACGGGTAGCGTCAGGAACCCGCCCTCAACCAATCGTTGTACGGCTGCCCCTGAGTTGTGTGCCCACTCTGGACACACAATATAAAAGGTGGCTGTATCTTTGTTTATTACTTATGGTCAACTTCTGTAAGGGCACAAGGGGGGCCATTTCCGTTTTTTTCTTTTTTGATATGTTTATCGTATGCCAAGTCCTGACTCTTCACATTGGCTGATGCTTATCTTTAGGAAAATAGAAAGTATTTATCTGAGATAATAAACCTGTACGGAGTACTCCGTAAAGATATTCAATACTGTACAATATAAGGCTGTGATTTCTGATTTCAACATGAGACACCGGTGTAGCCCCCTCATTTCCAGGTCCCCGGATAATACTCGGATTAATTATACTACATGTTGATCAAATTGACCTCCTTGAAGGTACATATTGTAACTGTCAGCCTCATGTTTTCTGTGTGATATGTCTTCTATTCTCTTCGGTCTCACTGGTTTATTTGCTTTTGGTTCTTATCTACTCCTGGGTCTGGGTTGTTAGGTATGAGGTCAATCTCTCAAGGGAAATCTCTAGATACATAGGTAGGTAGAAGGTATAATCTACGCCATTAGTGATGGATAAACTAAGTCATGTCGAGTGAAAAGCTATTCAAATACTCAAAGGTGTGTAATAAAACGTCTTGTCTTGTGGTGATGCGCCATATGTACAGCAACAAAGCGCCTCTATTGAACATCGAACCCATCAGATAACTATATCATATCAACGTAGGCTAAGCAAATCCAGAACTAGTCAAATACTTTAATTAATCTAGTACAAAGAAATGGCAACGGTTACGTTGTTAGTGCGAATTATCAGAATGATGTTGTACTTGCAGAGTATATATATCGCACCCAACAATCAAGCAAGATAAAATTTTAATCAAATCTTCGGTCTTGTCTAGT